AAAATTCAGAATACTTGTGATGGTTCAGACAAGTAAGCTGAAGAGACTGAAATTTAACACAGACAGATGCAGAGTTCTTTAATCAATGGGGATACCTGGCTTGATAATGATAAACTATATTGGCAGAAGCAAACTATATAAAAGGTATAATCAGAGTCTGTCAGGTCCAAAGCCAAAAATGACACAGTGAAATCCAATCGAGTCAGTCCTTTATTGCGTATATCTCATGGACAGACTCTTGCCAAACTAAAGCTATAATCTGCTAACCTACTAGAGATATCCTGAGAGATTCTAAGGTATGGTTACCCTGAAAGTCTCCCCTCCTTCCCCATCCAATTGGGAATATGCCGTCTCTAATCTGGTCCTCTCTTTAATGATATTTGGCTCTATATTGCCAAAACTCTTATTCACTGATCCTCCGTGTGCACATTGCATCACAGAGTCAGAGACTACAGTGTAGCATAGCTGTAAAAGAAAGGAAAATACAATTTTAGACCGCTTCAACAGAAGTATAGTTTCAAAAGCACTGAAAACAATGGTTCTATTGGCCAGATCTTGCTTTGATACTGTGATCAGTCCTATCTACACTTTTAGGCATACTGGGAAAGGTCAGAAAAAGGGATGATGATGATGATAATGGACCAGAAATTAAGTCTTGTAAGTGAGATTGAGGGAAATCCTATGTTTAGCTTTGAGAAGACAAGACATGAGGTTATAGGATATATTAGAATAGTTCAGATACCTGAAACAATGTAATGCAGTAGTTGTCAGAATCTGTCACTTCATAGTTGAAGACATCAAATGAAAGACTTCATAAAAGTTCATTTGAGGTGAAAGTTTGGCAAAAACATGCTCAGTATAAGAGCAGTTCAACAGTGGAATCACTTACTAAGATGGTTGGTAGACCATCTTTCATTAGATATGCTCAGGAGAAAACTACATGGCTCTCTGTGTGGGATGCTTTAATTTAGATTTCTACACTTACTGATGGTTCAATTTGATGTCCTAAATGATCCTTTCCATCTCTATGATTCTTTTGGCAACGTGCCATCATCAACATTGATCAACATCAGTGAATAAACCACAACAATCATTATTTGTCTCCTCCAGTTTCTGGAACCTGTCTGCCACCAACTCTTTGAACTTTACCGTAGTTCTGAGGTTCGTCTCAAAAGGTTCACCTTACAGTTCTTGCCAGAACTCATCTGGGTTTATTTGCGTCTTACTGTCAGCAAAGATAGGCAGAGCAATGGTTGCATCGAAGCCCTACTTCTAGGAATTTACAACTTGGTAAGTAGGACTACAATGAAAATGCACTGACCTTCTGAATTGATGCAGCTCAAAATGTGGAGAAGCCATAGGCTAGTCAGCATAACTAAAATCACATACTCACTATTTGACAGCAGCCTACAAAATACAGAGTATAAATTCTTGTTGATTTTCAGCATTAAGCAAAACAGGAAGATGATTAGGCTAGGCTTCAGATTTTTCAGGAGTAAAATAAAACTGAACCTTCCTTCTGAGCATTATTCCCTGAAAATCCCAGGCCTTTCTTTGCATGAGGTCTTCTTCAGAAAGGCCTATTTGTCTCTCTGTGATCATTTTTGATATCTCACGGACAGTTTTCTGACTTGCCAGACTGGTTGTTCTGATGAGGTTCCAAAGAATATTACTCTGCTTGTTAACTTACCAATTTTTGTATGTGATTTGTATGTTAATGTTTCCTGTAAGTCACCTTATTTATTTTTTTAAATATAAAGACAGAATAAACTGGAATAAAGTTGTGGAAAGCCCACTGCTCTACAAATTGTAGCCTGCTCTGTCGCTAAAACAAAATCTTCATCTTCCATTAAAAGATTATTCTTTTACTTCGTGAATGTTTATTTTGCTGGCTTTAAGATGACATAATTATATATATTAACTTACCTTTCCAAATGTTTTTATATTACTATAGGAAATTGCTGACAAAGATGGGAATAATAAAATTTTATCTTTTACTATCCCTTCCTTATCAAAACCTTCAATTTACCATGAGGTAAGAATACAATCTTATTCTTAGACTTCTGATAAGAAAGTAGGTGTAACAGTTGTTTCTAAGAGAAAGCTGTCAGCTGATATTAAATTAGACTTTCTAAATTAGACCTTCCTTCTTGTTAGACTTTATTTGTGGTGTCTTGAAATTATGCCTAAATAATATTGTCACCATTTTATAATCCCTAAGCCCTCTACAATTGGATCCATGGCTTTGACTGAAGGAGCCCTGTGTCAGCATGACCTCATCAGAGTCGTTTATAGTGACCTTCATCCCCAAAGAGAAACATTCACTGCACAAAACAGGTAAGTGACTGATGTAGTATATCTTACCATAACAGTCCAAATATCTTAAATGAAAAATGTTTCTTGACTTTGAAGTGTGAGATAGTTGAATAGAGCAGAAAATATTAGATTTGTCTATTAGGTAGAGTCTAATGGGTGCCTTCCAAACTCTCTAATAACCTTTTGAAATACAGGTAGTCCTCGACTTACGAGGGCAATTGAGCCCAACATTTCTGTTGTTCAGCATGACATTTGTTAAGTGAGTTTGTCCCATTTTACGACCTTTCTTGCCATAGTTGTTAAGTGAATTACTGCAGTTGTTAAGTTAGTAGCAAGATTAAGTTAATCTGGCTTCTTCATTGACTTTGCTTGTCATGTGGTCACAAAAGGTGATCACATGACCCTGGGACACTGCGGCCATCATAGATATGAACCAGTTGCCAAGCGCCTGAATTTTGATCACATGATCACAGTGATTCTGGAAAGATTGCAAGTGTGAAAAACGGTATCTGAATATTCAAATATTGTATAGGGTTTCGACTTGTTCTCAGTTGTTTCGAAAGATAAGACTACAATTAATGGCATGGAACTTTAAGGATGTAGATTCAGATTAGACATCGTGAGAGTGAGAAGCTGTAAGTCAGTGGAATAGGTTAAAAAATGGAATGGTTTCTTCTCCTTCACTGGAGATTTTCAAATGGAGGTGGATGATATAGGGATGATACAGTGAATCCTGCAATGTACAGGGATTGACTTGATGCCATCTTAGGTCCCTTCTAATTCTATGGTTCTGTGTTAATAAAATAATTAGCTGGGAAACCCTGTGAGGTTATGCTTTCTCTGGTCTACCTCAGTGTTTTACTTCCAAGCTGAGAAAAAGTCATTCAAGATATATATTTTTTTGTCATAAAGTGATGGTAAGTCTTTCCTCTCCACCAGATACCATCTGGGCCATGCACCTATCACTTGAGTTGTAGAGAGAATAGCTATTTCATCAGCATAGGCAAACTGAGATTAAATTATGCCCATTTTGGGCATAAGAAATTCAGTGAAATATACAGCTGTGCTTCCTTCCTTTTTGACACAAAGAGACAACTGAAGTGCATCTGACTTGCATTAATGTTTTCATGTAATTTCATGATCAGAAGCAGTAATCTTTGATCAGTGAAGAAGGTTGTTAGGTTCACCCAAAGTCTATCCCCAGAGATTGAATCAAATGAAGAAAGACGGTGTATAGAGCCCCTCTTGGCTGACTCATTATTTTGTCATTAAGTGCTGCAACACTATACAGTGATTGAATGTGGATTGTCCTAAACTATGTCCTGATTGTTCATCAGCCAAAGCCTACTTCTGGAACAACCAGTCCAGCAACTTCAAGTTCAGGTGTCTTGTGTCCAGTTTGCTGACTATACCTAAGAGACTAAATGACTGACAGTTACTAGTTGTAATCCTGATTTTGGGGGTTTGACAAGCATGATTGATATGACTGAATAAGGCAGTGTCAAAATTTATCTTTAATAGGCACCTATTCTAGACCAAGCAAACCAATAGAGATTAAGTTTCAGTAGTTTACTCCATGAAATTGGAAATTTAGCAGCATGGCAGTCCGCGTATGTGGGAGCACACTTACCATCAAAGTCCACAAGCACACAGAAGCTTGCCTGCAATCATTCCAACTCCCACACAGTGAGCAAATCACACTCTGCTATGTTCACAGGGAAGGTCTGAGGTCAAAATATTAGCATTTCAGAATGCAAGACTTTTGAGGCATAAGCACAAGGAGCCCAGGTTGGATTTGTTGCTCCCAACAGAGGTTTGCTAACTAGCGATCACTCTTATGTAACTTGGAATCCTCATTTTCTAATCATTACACAGCTGTTCCTGATGAGTGCCGGCAGAGCCTCAGATGTTTGTTTGCCAGTTCCCAGTGATAACATTTATTTGGCACATCTGGAGCAGACACCTTGCCTGCCTTCCAAGGCTGAGTCTACTATGACTTTCAGTAGAGCTCCAATTCCATCCTGCTGCCTTCCTCAGTTGAAAATATTTTTGTGGTTGGATATTTAATTGTTCTATTGTATCTTCCAAGACTACTATATCAAATCCAAATGAAGTGAACTCAAAAGAGAACTATTTTGTTACTTTTTTAAATCTGTCAATAAGAATGGTTTTGCAATAGAATATTAACTATTTCAATCTGTTCCATTTTGTCTCTCTAGGTTTGAAGTGCTGAGCTTTCTTATGCTGTGCTATAATTCTGCTATTGTCTATATGCCTGCCTCTTCCTATCAGTCGCTTTGCAAGATGGGTTCTAGGTAAGAATGATGCACTTGGTATGGTTGAGGGGAATGTTTTTCATTGGGTTTTTTTAAATGTTATGAAAAGAAAAAAGGTTTTATTCACCCGTGAGACAATATTTGAATATTGATTATTTGCCATAATTTGTCCCTGCTTTTTTATTTGCATATGTAAATGTAGTGAGTTGCTTTATTACAGGTGTAGAAACTTAGATTCTTCACATTGTCTCCATTAAATTAGATAAAGAAAAATTAAATTTTCCTAATTTACTGTAGGAAGAAAAAAGGATCATGGCTTCTCCTGTGTGTGGAATGGAGCTGGGTTTTATGGATGTCATTGAGATGTAGTAGTGGAGGGTAACTTATAAAACATACTTTTCAAAACATGATGCCAAATAACAAAACATGGACCATGATGATCATGATGCAAGCTGTGTCCTTTTGTATTAGTGCCACAACAGTGCAGATACATATGTATAAGATAGTGTTTGTACTGCAACATCAAGATGCAGGTTTCATCAGTTATCCTTCCATTAGGGAAGGATTGAACCAACTTCCCTTATGGGGATTGAACCATATATGTTGTTCCATATCTCTTTTATTGTTGTTGTTTTCTGTGTGATGCTAAGATGAATTAAGATAAATGAGAAAAGTCCATGTCCCATTCGGAAAACTCAGTTTTAATGAAGATTATCCAAAACAGATCTTATGGAGCATCATTTTTTTTTAACCTGGTTAGCAATGGAAATAGCTAATATGTAGTCTACTTTCTAAGCCAACCTCTAATGCAGGGGTCCCCAACCCTCAAGCCGTGGACCGTTACTGGTCCATGACCTGTTGGGAACCAGGCCGCTCAAGCAGTGGGCAAACATGCAGAGCTTTATTTGCATATGTGTTAGATTTTGTTGCGTGCACAAAACCATCTCTTCCCCTGCCGCTGGTCCGTGTAGCCAAAAAGGTTGGGGACCATTGCTTTAAAGGATCTAGATAAATTTATGACAAAAACAGAAGCAATATGAAAAGGGTCTATACACTCTTGATTGTCATTAGTTTATTTCCTGTTTCATTTCACTTTTTATATGTCTTTTCCCACAAAGATGAATCAACAACTATTTTCTAGTTCTGCAATATTTGTGCCAAGCATATACTGCAGGCATGTCAAACTCGTGACGTCGCACGACGTATTGGAGCTTTTTCGCCATTGCTGGCAATGGGGTGGGTGCAGTTCCATTATGATGAAACCGGCCTGCGGGCCGGCAGTTTGACACCCCTGCTATACTGGATCCATGCCTTTAATGAATCCATTCTAAAAATCCAATGATAAGCTTGGGTTACAGGTGGAATATCCTTAGAGGAAAAAGATACTTCAGCGCCATGGTGCTGAAAATCTTTTCAGAGGAAAATTGGTATTTAAAGACTCCAAGGCAAATTGGGCAGGTCTGTGTGTAAGACAGATGACTGTATGCTTGGACCTTTGTATCCTTAATGGTTCCACATGGGAGGACTACCCAGCAGATTATACGTATCGGGGAGCAGGAAGAACATCCACAGTTGATTATTGGATAATATCATACGACCTCCTGAAGTTCCTGCAGAAGATGGAGGTAGATTTGCAACTGGAAAGCGATCACGATCCACTAATCCTTACTTTTACATTACACAGAAACTGCTAAGGGCTGACTCAACCTATTTACCCAGGTTAGAGAACCAAAATACCCAGATCAAAATTAAATGGACAGAGAAAAATGCAAAGGAAGTTACTAAATGGATGTTAGCCCCAGAAACCATAGAACTACATACATCTCTATTAAGGAATAAGTTTGAAGGATCATACTTAGAGGGGTTTGAAACTTTCATTTTAAATTTGAAATCGGTTCTCACTAACAGAATACTAGCTCACCCCAAAAAGCCGGTTTTAAAGAATAAAAAATGGTTTGACAGGGATTGCGTGCAACTAAAAAAAAACATATAACAAGGAATACAGAAAAAGTAAAAATGCCCCTTCTGAGGATCACACTCACTGCTTAAAGCAGTTGAAGGCACAATGTAAGACTCTTCTAAAAGGAAAGAAAAGGGCGGCTCTGAAGGAGTCTTGCATAGACTAATTGCATCAGTCAGGACAAAAAATACATCCCTTTTTTGGCACATCACCAGAGGATTGGGGAAATCCCCCCTACCTCCAACTAATCAGGTACCAATCCATGCCTGGGAAGAATATTTTAGAGAGCTATATGCAGACCCCGACTATGTAACTAATGAGAGCCAAATTAATTTGGACCAAACCCCTTATTGGCCCCCTGTTACACCAGGCGAGATATCCCGATTGATTGGAGCCCTCAAGGCTAATAAGGCATCTGGTGCTGACAATATCCTGCCAGAAATAATAAAAAATAATCCCGGTTGGTGGGCTCCCCTTTTAGCATCTCTGTTTACATTTATAGATAGAATGGCACATATGCCAAGAGATTGGGGATTAGCAATTATCATACCAATCTATAGAAAAGGTAGTAGAAATGACCCAGGCAATTATAGACCCATTAGTCTTCTGAGTGTTATTAGTAAAATGTATGCCAAACACCTAAATTATAAACTTCAGGATTGGCTAATTTTTTTTGGGGGGGGGATAATTAAAGATGAACAAGCCGGTTTTAGAGAAGGAAGATCAACGGTGGATGATATCTTGGTACTTCACCATCTAGTACAAAAATACATATATTAAAAAAATCCTCTCTTTTTGTGATTTTATCCTCTCTTCCTTGATTTTAAGCAGGACTTCGACTCAATATCTAGGAACACCCTATGGGAGAAATTAAAAGGCACTACTATCGATAAACGCCTCCTTTTCCTCATACAACAATTGTACGCCAATTCCACCTTGAAAGTGAGGTGTAATCCTCAAGGGACTTTAACCGGCTCAGTAAGGGTACAAAAAGGGGTACGGCAGGGTTGCATCCTGTCCCCCTCCCTTTTTAACTTCTATATCAACCCCCTGATCGATCTCTTACAGAACCCTGATCTGCATCCGCCCAACTTAGCACATTGCAAAATCCCAATGCTTCTATATGCCGACGATGCGGTCATTATTTCACAAACTCCTGTAGGACTGAAGAGAGCAATTAGGACAACACTTGGCTACTGCAGACAGAACAAGTTGGTCCTTAACTTTGATAAATCAAAAATTTTAGTTTTTGCTAAAAGACCCAGCCAATACTCCTGGAAAATAGAAGGACATAGTTTGAAACAGGTTAGAACATTTAGATACCTTGGGGTGGTTTTCCACTTGCAAGGGACATAGAAGACACACCTGGATCATACATTGCAAGCAGCCAATAGGTCCTTAAATGCAATTAAACATTACTTTTACACAGGCAGAGGTCAATTAGTACCTGCTGCCTTAAAACTTTTCGAGGCCAAAACATTGGCACAAATTCTATATGGGGCACAAATAGGAATCCTTGCAAAGAAAAACTTGCTTGAAACCATACAAACCAAATTCCTGCGAGCCATCTTAGCTGCACCCAAAGGAACCCCAAATGCCCAATTAAGAATTGAGACAGGCATGCCCCAAATCCAGGTAAGAGCCTGGAAGATGATGATCATTCACTGGCTTAAAATGCATTTCTTTCCAGAGGGATTGTCCCCGTTAGTGCTGACTGACAACTTCTCCTCCCCCTGGAAGCAGGCGATAGATCATAAACTGGGCTCTTATGGGCTCTCTTCGGTATTCTTAATGTCCCTAGGCTTTGACCAAGCAAAACAAGTAGTATTCAATAGAATGAAGGACATGGAGTTCCAAGAAGAACTAAATAGGTTGGCTTGCCACAGTAGGGACAGAATCAAACAGGGTGTGTGGGAATCGGCAAGATATCTGAATGATCTGACCTTCCCAAAACAAAGAATAGCTTTTTTCAGAGCCAGATTTAACATTCTCCCCTCAGCACTCCTCCAGGGCAGGTATAAGAGAACACCAATAGCAGAACGGGTATGTATATGTGGTAAAGGAGAAGTCGAAGATATCTCACATGTTTTATTGTACTGTGAGTTATACTGAGTTTATAGGTCAGCATATATTCTCCCCTTATTAGAGCGATTGCCAGGGAGGGCAGACAATTTTTATGTAGGCTTTATCCTCCAGGACTCAAACCCTTCTATCACGCATGCAGTGGCAAAATACTGTGTTGCGGCAGTGTCCACAAGAAAAAAATTGGTTACAGATTTATAGCCGTCAACTTGTGCCAACTTTTGGAGATATCTCTAATAATTTTTGGAACATTATATTTACTCACACACTTATCAGCTTTCCACTCACGTAAACTAGGGAGTGACCCTAACATTTTGAGAACATGTATTTTCTTAATAGGGATGTTATTATTTACTATTAATGTCAGTACTATTTTTTTAATATATTGTAAAAAGTGACGTCTATTGCTGGTCTATGACCGTAATAAAGTTATTATTATTTCAGAGGAAAATTGGTATTTGAGTCTAATGTGTGCGCTCTTACAGCTTTTCTCCCTTTAGAATCCTTTTGGTGGCCAAATTTTAATTTATTGTTAAAAGGATATTCGTGACTTAGGCTTTGGCTGGATTTCAGTTTTTTTCTTGCTGCAGGTAAATGTTAGGTGGACATTGAAGATTGTTACTTGGATACTTTTCATAATTGTGATTAGATGTAATTTGATTGAGACTGATACTGAACTGCAGAAATAATTGCTGAGAGATTTCAGTGGGAATAGATTGGGGGCTTCTACAAAAATCAAGTTTGTGATGGTAGGATGTTTTCAGGCAAAATTTCATAAAGTAGGAAATATTGTGAATGATAATAGTCACTTTCTACTATGTCATCCCCTGATATTGTAACCATCTTTCATTGTGGTTTTATATAGATACAGGATTATTTTAGTGGCACGTCTTAATTAAGTGTTTATGTAGATATTACAAAATTAAATATATTAACAACAGCACAAATTACTGCAGTTATTAAGTGAATCGTGCAATCATTAAGTGAATTCGGCTTTTCGCATTGACTTTGCTTATCAGAAGCTGGCTGGAAAGATTGCAAAAAGCAATTATGTGACCCTGCAGCCATCATAAATACATGCCACTTGCCAAACACCCAAATTTTGATCACCTGACTGCATTAGTTGTCAGTGTGAGGACTGTTGTAAGTCACCATCTAACAGTGAACGGTTGCTAAACAAGGACTACCCATACTTTGTTGCATCTATCTTCAAATACTTTGGTTTCTAATTTAAGTGAGTAGTTTTCTCACAATAATATATACCACCCTGGACTATAAAAAACACATAACTGTACATAAACTAAAAAATGAATATTATAATTGAAATATCTTGGTTTGTAGCTTAGAATTTTGTATACAAAATTTAAAATATGAAAATGTACTTACTCAAAAGATAAAGATTTAATTTTTAGAACTGCTTGTATGTTTTTCAGGCTCTGTGTGAGTGGATTTCCACGACAAAATGAAAAATGCTGGAAGGAAGATGGCTGCAGAGTGGTACTGGATCCTGACTTCATGGTTCAGTTACTCACTGGAATCTATTATGCTGTGTATGTATCTAAACTTTGGATAAGGAACAGTTCTTTGTTTTGGAGCAAATTATTCATATTTTTACAGGAATAAAATGTAACGTAATTTTTTTTAAAAGTAATAACAGTGGACAGCAGAGTTCTATCAGGCAATTTTTCTGCCTTATTAGTTAGCTGCCCTTTGAAAATATTTCATTGGTCTAAATGCAAGTGAGTGTGCATACATTTTGTCCAGTTTAAAAAACAGCAGTGAATGGAAGGGAACCACCTGAGTAATCCTCTAGCAGAGTACTTAACACCTTTTTTTTCATTTTTTTTCTTTCTTATTATAATGGCAAAAGATAGCTCAGGACTGTATAGGTTGGAAACATGCGGATAAGGCCTTCGTCCTGCAATGGATAGACAGTGGCTAAAATGATGATGATAATGATTATAATATTTGTGCTATGTTTTGCTGTGAAAAATGGTAACTTACATTTGTTATGAAATTGTTTAACTCTGGAAAGCTTCTACTTGATTATTATCAGTTGCACCTTTCCTAGATTGAGGGGTCTTACTCATGGTCACTCCCGCCTTGGTCACCTCACAGTTGAACTACTGTAATGCGCTGTACATAAGATTGCCCTTGAAGAATATCCAGAAACTTTGGCTGGTGCAAAATGCAGCGAACACACATTATATCTCTGCTTCACAAGCTGCATTAATTACAAGTTTATTTCTAGGCCCAATTCAAGGTGCTCATGTTAATCTTTAAAGCTTTCATGGCATGGGTATTTGTGGGATCACAATAGCACTTAGACTTACATACCGCTTCACAGTGCTTTACAGCCCTCTCTAAGCAGTTTACAGAGTCAGCGTGTCGCCCCCAACAATCTGGGTCCTCATTTTACCAACCTTTGAAAGATGGAAGGCCGAGTCTTGAACTGCAGAACTGCTGGCAGTCGGCATTCTAACCGCTGTGCTACCACGGCATGTTATGGGTTTCATCATCTAGGGAGCTGTATTTGGTAGGCCCTAGGCATCAGGCCTTTTTTGTTGTGTGCTTATGTTGTGGAATATTCTCCCCCTGAGGTGACGTTCATTTCTGAACTTTTGAAGTCCCTTAAGACCTGGTTATGCCTACAGAACTGGGGACCCCAGGGGATGGGTGAACTGGTGAAGTGGCTCAGTTATTATTAACATCCCTTTGTTTCCTATGTCAAAAATGTTAGTAATGAAATTATCCTGACTGAAATGTACAGATAGAGCAAGGAAGAATTGTACCCAGGAGTCAGCTTTTTACATAAGATCTTACAGCTAGCACTAGCAAAATCAAGGCAGCAGAAAAGGGTCTATTTGGAAGTTAACTGATAGGGGGAAAGCTCACAATCATAAAAATAATGCACTGTGTTATTTCCTTTGCATCCATATATAGCTACAATGGACAATGGGAACTTGGTCAGGAAACGCTAGATGATATAATATATCGAGCTCAGCTTGAACTCTATTCTCAGCCACTGCTGGTAAGGGGATAGGCTGTAATCTATTCATGAGGTTTAAATTGTGCATATAATTGTAATATTAATAGTGAACTCTGAATGACTTATGTAATATTCTGAAATCTTCCAAAGGAACCTTCAGCAGAATACTTTGTGCACCATTGTAACAAAATGTCATGATAAATTGTAAACTTTGATTTCATCCACTTGGCTGTAATCCAGAGTTCCCCACTCTCTTATAAGGCAAAGATTAGCAGAATATTGGTTAAAAAAGAGGAATAATTAGAGCTATATTACTTGCAACCATTGTTTGACTGCTACTTGCAGTGTGCTTATTGAAAGTGCTCTTTTGTGAACCATGCAGATGTGCACTTGTGTATTGTTCATGTATACAGTAGTCCTGAACTTAACAACCATTTGTTTAGGATGGTTTGAAGTCATTGGCACTGAAAAAAGTGACTTACGACTGTTTTTCACACTTACAGTCGTTGCGGCATCCTCATGGTCACGTGATCAAAATTCGGATGCTTAGTAACTGGGTCATGTTTATGACAGTTGCAGTGTCCCAGGGTCACGTGATCTCCTTTTGCGACCTTCTGACAAGCAAAGTCAACGAGGAAGCCAATTCGCTTAACAACTGTGTTACTAACTTAACAGCTGCAGTGATTCACTTAACAACTGGGATAAGAGAAGTTGTTAAATGGGGCAGAACTCAACAACTGTCTCGCTTAGCAGCAGAAATCTTGGGCTGAACTGTGGTTGTAAGTTGAGGACTACCTGAATGCTTGTTTATCTGCATTTTGCATATCTGTTGGGAAGACTTACAGAATTACTTGACAAGCATACGTTTAGATGCTAACAGTCTAGTAATTATGGTACAACTTGAATTGGACCTCTCTCTGAACTTGAACAGCATGATAATTATTTTAAGAAGTGGCATAATCTTCCTTTTCCCCTCCACCTTTTATGAACGTAGGTCGATTGCAGTTCAAATCACTGGCCTTTTGCTAGATACATAAACAAGATCTTGAAAAAAAAGAAAATGTCCATTTTCCTATGTCATTTGTTTTTCTTTACTTACAATCATGCCCAGCAGATTGGTTTCTGCCTGTTTAAAGAGACACTGAAAGGGCTAAAGTCTTATCCTGGCAAGCCACATTGCCCCAGTAACCATCCTCTCTATGAACCCTCAGTATAGCTTTCTCTTCTAGAATGGTGGTGGGTAGAGTAATTTGTCTTGAAATTACTAAGAACTGATCTTTGTAAGATAAAAAACAGAAGCTAAGTTCTGAATATACTTCACAAAAAGAAAACATAGGGGTATGGACTCTTGTACAATTTGGAAGAAAATGTGTGTATGCTTTGCCCAGATTTAATTAAATGTTAATTTTTTTGCAAGGGAATCACCTTACCAAATGAGATTGGATTTTTTTTAAATCTTTCCTTTAGATTAAGTTAAATGCTTGCTTGATGAATTGCTGGCTAGATTATAATATACTTCCGAAGACAACAATTTGAATGCTTATTTTGTTACTAAATGTTCCTTTAGTAAATAAATAAATGCACTACAAAATTGATTTTTAATAAAAAAAATTAATTCTGCTGATAAGCTTCCTGTAATATATTAAAAAGCCTAAAGGTAGATTGAATTTATTTGAATTCAGCTTTTGTTTTTGACCAAAATTGAAAAAGCTGAGGCAAACACTAATCTGATGGAAAGTCTTTTTTGATTTGCTCATATTGTAATAACATACTAAGTATATTATTAATATTAATATACTTAATAATATTAATAAAAAATCCATCTTTTTAAAAAAGTTTATACTTGCTGTACCTCTCTCCATTCTATTCTGAATTTTTACTTTAAATGTTTCGCTTTCTTGGTCTCCTTTTTATTAAAAAAGAAAAGTAAGGTGCTTGCCTCCTTATAATTCAGTCTATATCCTAGCCTTAGTCGTAAAACAGGATGTCTGTCAGTGACCTTCAGCCTTCTGGATTTTTTTTTTTTTTTAGTAAAGCAAATTTCATACATTTTAAACCGCATATATGACTGAAAAGAATTCTACATGGTTTTAAGGTTGTATGCATACTCTGGAGCTGAGAAGCTCCCACTTTCCCCGATATGGCTCCCAGAAAATCAAAAGCATTCCCTTTCATTTTTAATGAACCCTACATAGTTTATTATGATGGACAAAGAGTGGTTGGTTTGCTTAGCCAGATATTATAAAGAAGCCTTCCCCATTTAATGCCGCTGGAAACAGCATTGCAACTCCTAGTAGGTGCTAACCGTTAGCTGAAAATATTCCTGTGCATAGGCAGGAGCAGCAATAAATCAGTTTAATTGGACCTTCACGTATGGACCTGATCTTATGTTCCTGACACTTACACAGTGTTTTACTGTTGTAATAGGTTGCAAATGCAATGAAGAATTCATTACCTTTTGATGCTCCTGATGCATCACAAGGAGGACAGAAGGTTTTGAAAGTAGAGGTTACTCCAACAGTGCCAAGAATTTCTCGGACAGCTATTACAACAGCTTCAATCCGCCGACATCGCTGGCGAAGAGAAGGTAATTTATAATGCAAAGTGAAGATGGTAATATGGTATCATTCCTCTCCACTGGCAAATATTAGCTTCTAAGCCTGAGTTTGATCATTAGTTTCAGGTAAATAGACATACAGAAAATAATTACCTATGTATATGTACAAATATGGAATCATGACTGCACACTATAATGAAGTAAGAATTCTTCCTATTTTATGTTTTGGGAAATCTAGAAAAGCTTAAGTGATTGAAGTGGTATATGATGGTATGGAAATTGAATGGCACTTTAAAATTTTTGTAATTACTTTCTACTTTCAGTGGGTTAGATCTTTCTGCGTTTTAAAAAATTGTTGAGAAGGTAATTATTTTGATGGTGTGAACAGTTTTTACAATTCGTGGGCAAATCCAGCTGGATTTCTAAAAATTTAGAATTTTTGTTCTTTTTCAAACTATTTCACAATGTACAATCTATAACTGACCTGGGGATGTGTATTGCTGTTTTTTTTTTTAAAAAAAAAATGGTATAGAGGTGTGTGTATGTATAAAATTCCAAAATAGCAACAGAAACTGGACAATATGGAAAATGTTATCTTTGTTTTTTCATTTATAAAATGGTAACTGGTATTTTAATATTAATTCTTACTAATGTTTTCAGGAACTGTGCTCTGCAAACCTAATGATAAATCTCAAGTATTTTGTGTGCGGGATAATTTAAGAATCTTTTAGTTTCCATAGGCAACAACTTCAAATCTTTTAAAGTCACTCCTGCCAGCAAAAAGAAAAACAAATGTTAAATTGGAAACATACCAATTTCTGTTAGAAGAGTTTGTCCTTTGTATGGTTTGATTATTTTTTTATCAATTATATTGGTAAATATATAGTAGACTGCAAAAACATAAAATATGAACTTTTATTAAACGTTAAATTCCTTGTTAGATATTTATTTATGTACACTACTTGCTGATTCTGCTTTTTGTTTTCATTCTGAATTCTTGATAATAAAAACATTTAATTCCATTTTTTACAAATCCTTCATCATGTACAGCCTTACTGCAGAAGTGTTGCACTTATGTCTTCTTGCACGTGGTACATCATATCCACTTATTTATATGATGCTGTTCAACTTTCTTTGAGAGAAGTGCAGGTGTGGTTTTGTGTGTTCCGTGTACACCTTCATTTCCCTTCCTGGGTTGTAATGATTAGGGAAAGAGTAGAAAGACACTAAAATATTATATGTTGAATCCCAGATGGCTTTGACTTCTCAAATGATGCTGACATGAGCATTCCCGGATCTCCGATCCTGCACGGCTCCACAGACCTAGGGATCAAACGCAAGCAAGAGTGGGACGTACTGATGCTCAGGACCCCTGAGCATGGCTCACCGGAGCCCAACTTGACACCAGCCACAAAAGAGGGTAGGACAGAGATAAGGTGGCATAAGTCAGTAAAGCCATTTCTTGGGGAGGATCCTGGCTCTTTCTTCCCAAGCAGAATTCCCTTTTGCTTTAGAGTATGTTCCATTGACCACAGGTATACTTCCTTCTCTTTCTTTCTTTCTTTCTGCACATATCCCTTTATGCCTAGCTTTAGGGCTAGAACTATTTATTCTAACATTTTGGACTTTGACTACCTGTATAATATCTAGCTTAGCATGGTAAATAACCTGATAACTTTGGGATCGCTTTTATTGGAATATGTGGATGATCTTGTGGGATGAGGGAAAGATACTGCTTAGAGAACAATCACACAAGAGAGGGAGGAGACCGCAGTCGCTTAATGCTCAAGAGGAAATAAAAATGTAGGAAAGACCCTAAGGCAGGAATTTTGTACCTTCAGATTTCAAGATGGATGTCAGTCCTGGGTAAACCAGACAGGAAATCTGACTAGATGAGCAAAATCTACTTTATTTTAAGACTATTTTAACAATCTTGTAAGTCTGAATGTACAGACTTTCCGCTGCTACTTTTAACCATCTGATCAATTAGGGCAGGTCTTCCTAAGTTTCTTCCTCAGACAGTTAAGCTCCTCTTGTCTGATAGTTCCATAGGCAATCTCTTTCTCTCATCCTCCAAGGTCATCTACTCATTCTATTACATCCTGGAATACCCTTTTAGTGAGCATGTGAAGTATGCTAAATGTATACATATATACATTTGTATACATACAAATGTATATATACAATTAAAAAAGTGTCAAATATAACTGTTGATGCTGTTTTCACCACCTGGAAAGCTTTACAGCATATACAATGATTTAACTATAATTTAGTATTAGAAGGGAAGGGGGAACATTTCTCTTAACTATTTTATACACCAAACTTCCAGTTCATTGAAATGTTTAATCACCTGCTCAGTGGATTGAAGTGGAATTAAATTGCCATTGTGCTATTTATAGGATTGTGTCTCAAGGTAGCATAGTATAAACTTGAAGAGAGAAAAAAAAATCTTAATAGCCCTGTATAGTGGTATTCTTCATATTAACTCTTTACTAAGAGATTCTCATTTTATTCGGTGCACGTCCTTAACCTACTGTCCCCTTGGTCCTGGTGCAGAAGTATTCAGATAGCAATGCATTCTAAGTTATAATTATAAATTTATCCTTTGCTAATCTGCATATCTCCCTGATTTATTTCTATAGTGCTTCTCTTCTGTCTTTAGTGTAGTCTTTTTGGCATGGCTGATATTTTAAGACTTTAATAACATTTGCAAATTATGTGCTGTACGTGCTTCACAGTTACTCCAAGGAAAGCTATGTAGGAGATGACCAAGCTGAGCCCGAGGGAGGGGTCAAGCACGTCATCATCAATCTCGAGTCCCTTCGCACCCACAAGAGATCTAAGTCCAGCCCACCTTGAATTCCGTTGACTCTTATCTACTGCCAATTTGCTTGGACTATTAGTAGTTCAGAGTCTTGTAGAAAACATGCATTAAACCTGTATTCATTTGAACCGTCTTGGCTCCTGATTTCTTGCGCCTGACAAGCTGACAGCAAAACAAACAAGCAAACAAACCCTTTAGAGTTAGCGTTAGAATTAGGATTCCTTATTTATTGCATCTGAATCCATCATGTGCAATCAGAAAGTTCACAGTGTCCAAAGAAGAGAGGCGTTATTGGAAAACAATGGAAGCATGAAATACAGAATTTACTCCTACAACTGAGTGAATCTGAGCATGGTCAGTAAATGAGCCCTAACCACAACTTTTTCCCCACTGGTTTAATTTTGTTGTACTAACTACACGTTGCATGTGCATGACCAGAAGAAGGTGCAGAAATTCCCAGACAAATTCTCAAATCTTCTTTTGAAAAAGAATTGCTTCGATGCCACAGTACTTCTTTCTTTAATATGTTAGATATATTTAGATTATGTATTGTTGCTTAAATGTTTTCTTGATAAATAAAGTGAACATAACATACACACAAAAATATTTTAAAAATCATATTTTTTGTGAACAAATTTGTTTTTTTTTGTGATCTGAGATAGGAAAAGATTGGCATTGTCTTAATCATAAAAGGAAATCACAGTTTGTTAAATTACTCTCTTTTGGTGATCTTGCTGATTTTGCATGAAATTCATAAATATTCCTTCTTTTTAAAATTGTGTAAACAAAATGACACAACCTTATCTTTCTTATTATGCTGCTCTACGATCATAATAGAATTGTTTTCATTTGAACTTTCTGATTTATCCTTGATTTTAAATATTCCAGTCTTTATAGCAAAATGCTTGTAAATATTCTCTGTAAGTTAATAAAAAGTAGAATCATAATGCTGACAGGATTAGTGTGTGTATACTCCTCTTACACCGATTATGTAAGAGAAGCTTTAAATATGAATAATAATGTTGGGAGCATTGATGAACCCTGTACCTGTTGAGGGCAGAGCTAACATTGATTTAAAAAATATTTCAGCAGGAGAAAAAAATGGTTGAAATATCTTTTTGAGTTTATGTTTCTCTGACAAGCTTTATTGTCTACAAAGACTTTGGTTCAGAGTATACTTGAACTTTTTTTGTTTGAGAAAAATAAGCTTTTCCCCAAATGACTTTGTTCCCATTGAAGTCAAGGAGTATATTTATAGTCATTAGTAAATCTGTATATTGCCCAAATCGAAGTTCTGAATACGTGATGATGGCTTGTGAGATCCTACCTTGCATGTTGTTTTCCTCCTTTTTCACTTTCCAAGCACTGCTGAGCTGCCTTGGCCTCTGCATGGTGGTGGCATTTGGAAAATTAACGCCGAGCCTCTCTGATTCTTTTCTCTGAATGGAAGGGATACTTTTATTAATTATACTAAATAATAATGTTGCAAACATCATTGACAAATCGCAATAGTGACAAATATCTCTTCCACTTTATGCTATTTTATCCTTGCAAAATGATTGTAAGGCTTAAATTGTATCCATGGAAATTGACTTGGAAACACCTCTGGTGACTGTGTTCTCTCCGTTAAAGTAAGGAGGGGCTAAGAGAGGCGGTGCTGGGAAGGCGGCCACTGCTGCTGCTGCTCAATCAAAGTCCCCTTCACTTAGCTTTGCATGGTGGTCCAATAAAAGAGTCTAAAAGGCACATTTGCTTTCAGGACTTTCTTTTATTTCAAATGGCTTTTTAACTTTTTGTGTGAAGAATACCATATGCAAAGTGGCTTGTTTTTTTAAACATAATATTTTAAAAGGAACATTTTCTTTTTCTTTTAATCTAAGGGGCCTTCTTATTTTACAGGGCACTGTTAATGTTTGAAGTGTTAAACTGATGAAGTAAGTGAGTCAGTATTGCTGAGAAAATAGAAAAAAAAATCCTTTCAGTCTGTAAAATGGGCATTCTCTCAGCTGTCAGATTTAATTCTGCATGTTTCCATTTGTCAATATAATTACTTTGCAGAGGAGATTTTTGACATGGAGAAGTGATGTATGTCAGGATAATTGTAAGCTGAGGATTACTGTACAAAACAGAACAGTATTGCTTAATTATGTATTAAGTTAGAACAATGGTGTCCAAAGCATTAATTAGAAGATAGAATGATCTGAGAGCACTTGGTTAGCTAAAAATAAATAAAATTTTACAGACACAGCATCAGCTATGGAGACTTGCTTTTGCTCTGTAAATAATCTGTTCTCTTGTTTATAATACATATTGTGCTAATTCCATGATAATGGGTCAGTGTTTGTAACTGTCCAGAAATAAAAAAAAATAAAAAAATGTATATTTAATTAAATTTATATGCCACTCATCTTACTATCCAGTGCAACTCTGATAGGCAAAAACATTCTTACAAAACCCCACAGTGACACATGCACACACTGTTAAATACAGACATAAACTAATACTCAGATGCTGACATTCAGGAATACTTGCATGCATCAAAATCTCCATTTCATAGAACCCCTACAAATACTGAAGTAGAACTGCCCCTTTGGCATTTAGGATAGGCAGAGGTACAATTTGAGTTAGAGTGGAAAAAATGAAATCAAACAAACTAAAAAGTGGCCGAAGAACTGATTATTCTTTATTTAAATGAATTCTGACTTAATTTTATGTACCAGCACAGACATTCTAGGTTGAGCTTTAGCACTGAGAATGCCAGGAAGATAAGCATTCCTCAGAGGTAGACGTTCTCTATACAGTATTTAATACGCTTATTAATACGATTATAGGCATATACAAATTTATTATTATAATTTACATATTAGTAGATGTATAGTATAACATGAATGGTTTATGACTTTTTGAGAAAGGTTATTCTTATGGACACAGTCCTAGACACAATTTTTTTTTTAGAAAGCTAATCCATTTAAGCATTGTGTAACAAATTCATTCTGTTCCAGACTGCAGTATAAAAACAATTACAACAAAAACACTGGAACTTGAAGTTTAAGTTTCTCCAAAATGTTTGCAACATGATTTTGCTTAAAAAAAAAAAAAAGTGCAATCCTACCCGTTTTTGAAATTGAATCATAGTATAGTAATTTCTTAATCTGGGGTCTTTGATATTTTCAGATGGTGACGGAGTCAGTGGAAGAGAAGAGTCTGTGAACTTCAATGATGCTGACGAAGGGTTTTCCTCTGGGGCATCACTTAGCAGCCAGCCACATGGGACCAAACCTTCATCCACATCTCAGAGAGCCAGTTTAAGAAAAGGAGTTGCTGGGCTTTTGGCCAAGGATAAGGAGATCATCTTGGCTACCAAATCCACAGACAGCCCTCGAGAATCTGCCCATAAGCAGTACCTACACCAGTCAGTTGACCTCAGTACAGATGCAATTGAAATTACTCCCACAAAGAAACATTTGAGTTTGCCTCCTGGGCAGGTGGTACCAAAAGCCAGCAGTGTAAGCCTGATACGAACTGCAAGTGCTTCTTCCAGTAAATCGTTTGACTATGTGAATGGTAGTCAGATGGGTTCCAATGTTGGTATTGGCGGTGATGGTGTTACTAACTTAGCAGCTGGCAACTCCAATCGTTTTTCAACCATTAGTCTACAAGAGGACCGGTTAAATCAAGCTGGAAATGGTAAAGATGTCCACTCACCAGGAGCTCCTCTGACTAAGCAGTCCCGATCCCCAAGTTTCAATATGCAACTAATATCTCAAGTTTAACTTGTTTATACCTTCCTATATTTTTTCCATTTGTCCAATTCTTTTTTGAGCAACATCCACAATCTTCATCCTATCATCTGAAAATCCTGGCTTCTGTGATGTTGTTCAATTCATTTAGATACTATACTATATTTTGTACTGAAACAGCAATAAAACCTCATGTTTTCGCCCCCTCTCCCATAAATGTCATTGTGAAACAGTATAAAATATACTTTATGCCTTTTCCAAGCCTTTGGTTCTCCTTGGGTGATGTGCAATCCATTATAGGCAGATCAGTTCCCATTTCAACACTGTGAGTCTTGAGAAGATTGAAGGAAATGGAGAATATGATCCCTATCAAAATGAAGCTTCGGCTTTCCTGAGAAATAATAAACGGGTTAGTTTTCTCGGTCTAAAGTTCTGCAAAGACTAATGAATGGTGATTTTTTTTTGTCTCTTGGAACCAAGAGTGCCTCAGAGATTCTAGTAGGACTTTGGACCTCTGAGTTAGTGCAATCAATTCTGTGGGAGAGAAAAATTGTCACTGCTTCTGATGGTGGTTGAAATGCACTTTGTCATGAACATTAGAGTAGTCTTCCTCTTCCATCCATCCACTCTTGCCCTCCCAAGCTTAATGTTCAACTACTGAGACATGTATATATGACCAGGAAGTTGCTCCTTCAGAATGAATGGGCTGTAAGTAGACAGCATAGGTTGCAATGCAGTTGTAAGGCCCATGGAGCCATGTTTACATGTCTTCCCCACCCAGGAAACAGAGTTGTTTCTCTACATGTTAAAAATTTGAAAGATGAAGTACGTTTAAAACAAGATTGAGAAAATGGGACATGGGCTTTTCCAAGTACGACTACTCAACAATGCTCCTTTTAAAGTTACTTTTGTAAGTTGATAATCTTTGGAACCTACAAGAACAATTGAAGTTTAGACGAGGGAGTTTTTCAGGGTGCTTGCTGTGTGGAATGACTAAATTTTGTCACTGAACAGACTCAGAAGCTTCAAAAAAGACAAGTGTTCTCCAGCGGGAAATGCCAGGGACAGAGGCAATGGCTGCTGGAAATACTGAGGCATCAGTTTTCCTTAAAATCATTTCTCAAGCAGTGGGAGTTTTTTGGCAGCTTTCTCTTTCCAAAGGAAACAATTCACTGCCTATATTTTGATCAATTCATTGCAGTTATATTTGATATAGTTAATGTAATGCGGGTGTGTGGGGGGGAACTAAAGATATTATCTCCTCCACTTTAATCTGGGAATGCATCCTGTTGAATTTAACCTTGAATGCATGTGGTGTGTCAGCAATACGTGATATCTGTGCTGTAGATCACTGCTTTAAATTGCATTTCTTATTCTAAAGAAAGTGTTCATCATGTTTTGAAGAGTAATGTATACATGAAAAGCAAAAGGGGGCTGTTTTGCCTTCTTATTTTTTTGCTGTACTTTGACCTGGAATTTTGTTGACAGTTAATGAAAGGAACAGATATAAGTTATATTCCTCCCTCCCCAAAGTAACCTTTTGAATTAATTACAGGTTGAAGAGATTCAAACATTATACATTATTTTCAGAAGGGTCAAAGGTTAAAATGTTCAGATTACCAAGTGCCATTATTCTGCTAAAGAAAAATTTTTAAGTTTAGTTGATAGCTTCCAATTCTTCTACTCTTTTTCTTCCCTGACTTTTAGTTTGAATCTGGAGTTTGTTAGAAGAATTGTAGCTAAAGTAATCCTCATTTTAAAGTATTACTATTACACGAAGTAATAGTTACTTTCTATAGGCACTCTTTAAAGCAAAGCTAATGTCAAATTTAATTCCAATATTACTGAAACTCAGGAATGTTTCCCAGTGATTCACTGTAATTATTGAATATTCAGAATAATTTTGAATAATATGTATAATGTAGGTTAGATTTCTTGAGCTCTAAAGCCATCCATTACAGACAACTTCAGAAAGTTTCTTTGTTCTGTAGAAAAAGTGAGAGGGGACCTAGCTGTATGTCTTTATTTTTCTAGAGAACTAATATGATTCCCATATAATTCAGCAGTCTTTTTTAATAATAGAAACTATGACCATTATACAAGCTGCATGAATAGTTTTATAACTAGGGACTTTAGGCTTTCAAGTGTTAAGTAGCAGTTCATTGTGCAACATATTAAACTGTGTTTGCATCCTTCTGATTTAATGGTGTGAAGATTACAGAAATGATTATGACCAAGGTGACAAGATTTTTTTTTGTTTAAAAAAACCCTATTGGGATGACCAAGCCTGTGGTTTACACCTAGGTAGCTTTTTAAGATCCAGATCCATGTATTCTACATAGCAAAAGCCAAAAGTCTTAGTTAAAAAATAAATATTGCTGTACTTCAGACCAATTAATATATTTGTTCTTTTTGAAAGAAATTTAAGTCGCGTTAAGCTTGTTTTGTTTTGTTTTTTAAAAATCTGTTATGTAGTTTTATGCACATAATATGCAGGAAGTCTAATTTACATACTGATGATTGGTAGCTTGCTATCAAACTGGAATGTGTATAACTGTTTAAGATTTCATCTTAAAGAAGTTATAGTTTATTTTTTTAAATATTGAATAAAAATATATTGTATCTTCTCAACATCAAAATTACAATGTACATATGTTGGGGTGATGATTTACATATAATTAGTAAAGTGAGTGTTTTCTTCTGTACAGTACCATTTTGTGTATTTAGTTCTTTTGCTTTTAATATCATTTGACACATTATAACGTATGTTTTCAATTTTGGTTTATGTTTCTTTTACTTTTCTTAAAAAGAGTAGGTACATTGTTCAGATTCTATTTCTATTTTAATATGCAATTTTCTCGTACTATGGATTCAAGTACGAAGCTTACCTTGTTTTTATGTGTTTATGATGGAGGAAATACTGCTGGATATTTTTTCTTAAATGTGTCTTACTTGAGAATATTAATTAGTCCTCTTAATAGGTCATGCTAGTACTGCTTCAACATTTGTTGATGTATCTGCTGCTAAGCTGTCCCAAAGTTTCTGCTAAAAGCACTGTATTGATGTTTTGCATTTGAAGGTTCAGACTCAGTGGGGATGTAACTTTTCTCTTCATTTCTTTTTCATGGTTAAGATTGTTCCTTTCCTCTTAGCATTTTTGAGTTTGCCTAGTCTTGCCCCCCTTCAGTTATATCTGGATTGAATTGCACACTAGCTTTTATAATGTTGACCATGAAATATCCAAAAGTCTGTAAACTTACCATGTATGCTTACCAAATATATATAGAGAGACTCAGTCACTACCTTTCATGTGTTATTCAGAAAATACACTGTGGTTCACAGTTCATTGTAATCTAGAGAGAGAGAGTTACAGTACTTAATTTTGAAAAGAAAGAAGGGAAAGAATTAAAAAATGGTGGAGCCTGGGTGAAGATACAACTAACCAATCAATGCTCGGAATAGTTTGTAAAATTTATTGACATGGGAATGAAATAGAATTAGATTGGCACAGAAGCCAGAACTTTCAATTGAACCTTGTAATTTGCTATAACAATTTTTTTTACTGGATTATAGGCAACAGTAATACTCGGAAGAATATGACAGATATTTGCATTTAAATATTGTTATAGGTATCTTGTTAAATAATAACTTCTGTTAAGTAGAGACGGCAGTTCTTACAACAGTTTGTTCCAGCTACACAGTGGAAAAGAACAAAGCATCTTCATGCTGTCTGGGTATATAGACCGAAAATGCCTGTAAAAATTTTTTTGAAAGTATGATTACAAGAAAGATCTATGAACAAAACTGGATAGGGCAATAGTCTGAAATAATATTTTTTACTTGCCTTCCTCACTAGAGGAATACCAAATCTAAACATTTACCATATTGTAAAGAATATTCTGCCATTACTTTTGCTCTAGATTTACAGGTGAGAAGAGGAAAGGTAAGCACATAGTTACATGGTTATTACCAAATTTTTCATTATTTTAGATATGCCATTTGACCTGGCTTGCAGCTTTTTCATAATACAGACGATAATATGAGAATAAGATTAATCATCTCATTGATTACAAAACTATTTCAAACATTGCTAATGTGCAATTTACGGGCAGCTCTTTCAATGAATTCTTAATAAGTCTTTCATGTAAAACTATGCATCATTCTGTACCAGAATGATGAATTTGTATCACAGTGAGACATTGTTTAAAATATAGTGTTTTTTCAAACATATACAGTAGTAGTATCTGATTCATAAACTGAGTGTCTTGTGTCTTGATGCTCTTTGTAGATTTAAAGTAGGCAAGTTCATATATTTTAGAACTGAAATAAGGAAATCATACGGTAATAATTTCAGACTTTTGATTTGCACTATTTTGTGGAAAGTAGTTTTTTTTCTGCTGGGGAATGGATATGTGCGTGTATATATGTGTATATATATGTGTGTGTATATATACCCTCTCCCCCCACGCATATATATTATATATATAAATACATATACATATATACATACACAGATGTGTATTTGTCAGTGGTTGACAATCAATTGCTCTGTAAGATGTAATTATAATCATAATGTAATATTCTTAAACATATATGTATATGTGTATGTATATTTCCAAATGTTTAATATTTTTTCATTATCAGTATTTATCTTCAGGGAATAGATTTTCATTATCTTATTACAAATACATTTTGGAGGAGTAATTTGAGTGCCGATAGTACCACCCAAAAGCCACCGATTATTATTTTTAATTAGTACAAAAATTTCAACTTTTAACAAATAATGAGATGAAATTGACCATTTTTTTAGATTTTAAAGAACATATGGGAAAAAAGACAAATAAATCTAAATACTATTTGCATAAATTATTTCAAATAATTTGTTTTATAAATTATTTCTGGATAATCACATACCATGCATTATAGTTTTAATATTTAAAATTAAACTTCATATTCAACCAATTTAAATTAATAATTGCCAAAGACTAGTAATTTGATTCATTGCTTAATACTAAAAGCAATGCATGAATTCAACATTGGGACATTAGTACAATGGGGTATACATGCAAAACCACTTAGATGAATCAAAAATTGATTCATTCCAGCTGTTTAACACTAATTGTTTAACACAAACAATTAAACATGTCCATAAGAAAGAAGTGCTTAACGGTTTTTACTCATGGTTCATTAGGAATTAAATTCATTTCC